ATATATATATATATATATATATATATATATATATATATAATTTAGTAAAATTAAAAAAATACTTTTATTTATATACTAATTTATGTAAAAAAATTTAAAGGAGTCAAAACTCCCTTAATTAACCATGAAGCTCCGCCAAGAATATACATACAAGGAGATGTCAGATCCGTTACATAATCGTTATTAGAGCAGCTAAACATAGCTATGCCTTACACTTTAGATGAACACACAACACACAGTATGCTGAAACTAAAATCCATATATCATAACTATATAACCAGTCTATATCTCAGGCCAAAGCATTAAGAGCAAGAAAAAAACTCAGATCACAGGTATCGACAGACGTCAACTTTGGCAGAGGAGCATCACAAAAACTTGCCGGCCATGACAATTTAAACTTGCGACTTGGCTGGCATGTCATTGATGTTCCAACCTCAATCAAAATGGTATGGAGAAGTCAACTGAGTAATCAGAAGCGCCATCAAAACTGCTACTTCTCACATTCACGCATCTTATCTATGTCTTTATATTTGAAGGTTGTCATACCCTGGAACATCTACAAAAGTGCAAATTAGGTTGTCATATAACACACTAGGTTTTGTAAATGCAACAATTGATAGTCTCAAGAATGGTATTCAAATTGCTTTTGGAGTTCTTCGTGGGGTATGAGTACAGTACTATATAGGCTTCCCTTTTCCCTCCCATCACGTTATCTGCAACGGCAAAAAAATAAATAAATATAAAAAAGATTCAAAATTACCACGATCTATACGCGGCGAGATAGCAAAAGACAAGTTGAGAGTTGATGCTACTCTGTTCCTCCTCTGCCACTGAAAATAATTTGATTTGTTCAGTGACTCTCATGTTATTTATCACCTTGCCATCATCACCAATAATCTCCGCATGTACATTTTCCCTCCTCAAATCGATGGAACCGGTTATTATCCCTCACAATGATTACCCTTCCGGTACATTTGCTAATAAACTTGATGGCAGTGTGGCAATCACCACAAACACGCAAGTTCTTCATCACTCTGATAGGTCGCTCCTGAGGAAAAGTAATAAGTCCAAACGCTATGGCCAACCTTTCACTATGATACCTTATAGTTTGACTCTTCTCATCTCCGTCCACTTCTTTTAACACGAAAGACGTGTCTGCAACGTACCCAGCTTTCGCAATTTTCTCTCCCAGCTCCTCCAACTTCTCATAAATTTCCTTGGTCTTCCCATGAGACCTATCCCCAGCAGCAAATGTATGAACCCTGTTACCCTCCTCCACCCAACTCAAACTAGTTTCTTTCTTTATTCCCTTATCCCTCAGCATTTTTCTCGCTCTCGCCGCCTCCTCCCATCTCCCAGCAGCAGCATAAGCATTAGAAAGCAAGACATTAATCCCAGAACTTACAGCACCCATCTCAAAAATCCTATCATCCACAAATGAAGCCCATTCAGTGTTCCCATGAATCCTGCACCCAGTCAACAAAGCCCCCCAAACAGATTCCGTTGGCTCCATAGGCATGCCCTCAATCACCCGAAACGCTTCATCCAACTTCCCAGCACGACCAAGCAAATCGACCATGGTTGCATAATGCTGCGATCCGGGTTCAATCCCATGCTCCTTCATCAACCCAAAGTAATGCTTCCCCCTCTCCACCAACCCCGCATGGCTGCACGCATAAAGCAGACACAAGAACGTGATGAAATTCGGCTTCACCCCGACACTCCCCATCTCTTCAAACAGCTCAAACGTTTTCCCCGTGTGAGCATGCTGAGCACACGCAATCAACATCGCATTCCACATGCCAAGGTTCCTAACCTTCACCTCCTCAAAAACTTTGTAACCCCCTTCCACAACTCCACACTTGGAGTACAACGAGATCAATGAACTAGCCACAAAGCAGGACGAGTCAAAACTCGTCTTAAAGCACAATCCATGCACTTGCTTGCCCAACTCAAACAAAGTGGAAGCACTACAAACCCTCAAAACACTAGACAATGTAAAATCATTAACTCGAATATCATAATCCTGCTGCAAAGCACATTTAAAGAGGTTCAAAGCCTCCTCATCGAGACCCAATTGGGAGTATCCATATATCAGGCCGCTCCAGGAGACAACGTTTTTATGAGGCATTTCGTCGAACACCTTGCGCGCGTTGTTTATTTCGCCGCATTTAGCGTACATATCGACGAGGGAGCTTCCAACGAACACGTCGAAGTGGTTGGCGCTTTTTATGGCGAGGGCGTGGAGGGAGTGGGCGGTGGGGAGGGACGAGAGGGCGGCGCAGGACTTTGTGGCGGTGGGTAGGGTGTGGTCGTCGGGAAGGAGGCCGTGGCGGAGCATGCGACGGAAGAAGCGGAGGGCGAGGTGGGGGAGGTCGTTCTGGGCGAAGGCGGAGATGACGGAGCTCCATGTGGTGGCGGACTTCTGGGGAAAGGAATCGAAGAGTTTGTGCGAGGAGTGAGGAAGGTTAGTTTTGGAGTAGAAGTTGATCAAATGATGGCAAACCAATGGAAGAGCTTCAAACCCTAATTTGATAACGTATGCATGGAGTTGAAGACCCTTGGGGAGTAACCTTGAATGTGTTAGACACACCAGCACCTTGCAAATGTCTCTGCAGTCACTCTGCGGAGGGAGCATTACAGACGGCAGTGAAACGGGACCAACACGCTGCGTCACATCTTATTTTCCTTTTGGGCCTACATTAGGCCCAAATATGAAAAAATAAACAAAAACTGACATGACATTCAGTTCATTGACGTCGTCTGGTTCAGTTGAATAAGTGTAAACTTGACACCAAGGTAGTAGGCATAGAGAAGAATGGAGGGAGAAGAAGAGTTGCTGTGGAAATCGGAGCCACAACGCGAGTCCATCGTCTCCGTCACGCTCGCACGTGCCATCACTTCTCTTCTCACTTCCCGTCCTAAGAAGCTTCACGACTCTATTTCTCGCCTCTCCTCACATTCTTCGCGCTCGCACACTTCACTCGTTTCCCTCGAAGACTCTCTCTGGTTTTTCCACAGCTACGTTGCCGACGCTGCGACCAATAATTCTTCCCTCGACCAAGTCCTTCTTCCAATCATCGACAGCGTATGCATTTTCTCCTCCTCAATTTGTTTATTTCGGATTCTGCTTTCTCTTCGTTACGATGTGTTTTTCGTGTTTCCAGGTGTTAAAGTCCAAGCATGGTGACCAAGCTATGCTTCTGTTGAACTGGCTCTTCCAGGACGAGCTTCTTTTCCAACCCGTTGCCGAGGCTCTCGCTGGCGTCGTTGCCAGAAAGCACGTGCACGACCGCTACTTGTTGCTTGGTTGGTGCCTCCTTCTTCGGAATCTAGTTGAATTTGAAAGTTCCGCTCATCAATCCATGTTAAGTGGTGAGTTTCTAGTACTTGAGATCTAAAACTGAGAAAAATAGTTCTGAAGGGATTAGAAGACCCTTCTCAATTCTCTTATTTATATAAATAAACTCTGGTACAATAGATAGATGGAAGATGAAGAGATTGTCCTAGCTAGGAACAATCATTATAGATAACCCAACACACAACTACCTACTTTAGGCCCTGCTACACTAATCATAGGGAGACTTAATAATTATTCTAACACTCCCCCTCAAGTTGGAGCATACAAATTGTATCTACCAAGCTTGGAACAAATAAACTCAATCCGAGGTCCCCTTAACGACTTAGTCAACACATCTGCGAGTTGGTCATTTGATCCAACAAACTCAGTACAAATTTCTTTTGACAATAATTTTTCGCGAACAAAATGACAATCAATTTCTATATGTTTGGTTCTCTCGTGAAACACTGGATTTGATGCAATGTGAAGAGCAGCTTGGTTATCACAATACATCTATGTCACAGAAGTTAAGCTCTTGAAGGAACTGCTTCACCCATATAAGTTCACATGTTAATGAAGCCATTGCCCTATATTCAGCCTCAGCTGTTGATCGAGCCACTACATTTTGTTTCTTACTTTTCCATGAGATAATGTTTCCTCCAAGGAAAACACAATATCCAGTAGTAGATCGTCTATCAATAGGAGAACCTGCCCAATCAGCATCACAATATCCTGATACCTGAAGACTTCCTTTTTCTTCATATAAGAGCCCTTGCCCGGGAGCCTTTTTCACATACCTTAGAATGCGAATGATAGCATTCCAATGGCCAACACATGGAGCTTGCATAAACTGGCTAACCACTCCAACTGCAAAAGATAGATCCGGCCTTGTAATAGTGAGATAGATTAGTTTTCCAACTAGCCTCCTATATCTCTCCGGGTCGGGGAATAATTCACCTTCTTCTGTTGTTAATTTTTGATTTGGATCCATAGGGCTATCAACAGGTCTACAATCAATCATGCCTGTTTCTTGCAAAATATCCAGAGCATACTTCCTTTGGGAGATTACAACTCCATCTTTTGACTGAGCTACTTCAATGCCTAGGAAGTATTTGAGGCTCCCAAGATCCTTGGTTTGGAAATGTCTACACAAGTACTCCTTCAATTGAGATATTCCAGCAGTATCATTTCCTGTAATAACTATATCATCAACATATACTATCAAGTAAACACATTTCCCGGGAGACGAATGATAATAAAAGACTGAATGATCTGCTTCACTGCGTTTTAGCCCAAATTTTTGAACAATGGAGCTAAACTTTCCAAACCAAGCACGTGGTGATTGCTTGAGCCCATATAGAGATCGGTTCAATTTACAAACCATACCAGACTCCCCCTGAGCAACAAACCCTGGAGGTTGCTCCATATAAACTTCTTCCTCAAGATCACCATGGAGAAAGGACAGTGAAATAGTGAAGGGTCCAAGGAGGTGAGTGGGTGGGAGAAAAAATTCCAGAAGGAGAATTTCAATCTTTCGAAATGACTTTTTCGGAAAGCACTTTCTAACTATTTTTTCCGAAACTTACACCAGATATCTTTCCGGAAGAGACTAAACAATACTTTTACGACTTTAATTTTCCGGAAATATAGATTACGTTTCTGGAAACAAAAAAATCATTTTCTACTTACCTGCACATTTCAGTAATTGTATATGCATAACTCATACCTCAATAATATTCCTGTCACAAATCACCAGCACATCTCCGGGACCTAGCAAGCACCTCCCCAAAATAAAATGAACATGGGTAAAAATGGAATTTTAAAAAATAATGGAGTGTAGCTAGAAATTGATGGGTGCAGAAAGCAATATCCATGAGTTCATTGCAGTTGGCCCATATAGTTTTGACGTAGCCCCAAATATGAACCGGGTGTTACTCCCTCCACCACATTTTCTCCCTCCACCTCCCCATTTGATTAATAGAATTACAAAACTAACATTTTATAATTACACAAATAAACTTTTTATTAATCCAATGATTGTACTTAACCCTAAAATTGTACTGGTTCTACCTCTTCTCACCCACCTCCCAACCCTCTCAGATTCTCACCCAAATTCCATCACATTTGTTTATCATCTTCCATTTTTCCTCACAAGGTTAGTGATGATATTTTGATTTTTTTTTTAAATGTAATGCATATATCTCTGTGTTGTGCTCTGCGTTTTTTTGCTGTGTGCATGTGTTGGGAGAAAGGAAGAAGATAACCAGGCCAAAAACGGATGTCGAGTATCGTTTGGATCTGAAACGGATGTCGATATCCGTCGACGGATGTTGACATCCGTTTTCCTTAAACGGATGTGACATCCATTGACGGATGCTCACATCCGTTTAAAGATTATACGGTTTATATTTTAGGGTTTTATTACGCACCTCACGCCTTGAACCTCTCACGCCTCGAACTAGCACCACCACACTCACGGTTGAAGATGAATTGCTTTCCCATTTTCAATCTTACTAAACACAAAGTCCACCACACTCTCACGTCACAATCTATAAAAGAGAAGAAGAAGTAGCGTAAGAGACAACCTCAGAAAAATAATAAAGAGAAAGAGGGAAGATGATAAAGAGAATAAATGTCCACGTGAAATTTTAAATAAATTAACCCTAAATTTTAATAAGGGTAAACTAGGAATGAAAAAAATAAAAAAAAGGATTAAAAGGGGAATGAGGTGGGGAGGAAGGGGAAGTAGTGGGGTGGTGGAGGAAGTAAGTGTGTGGTGGTGGAGGAGTAACACCCATATGAACATGTGTGTTCACCCTACACAACATCTTACCTTACACCTCAAAAAGGTGTACTTAACCTGTTAACATCTCTTGTGCAGCGCCCAAGGTGCAAAAGGGAGGGGGGACGCGAAGAAATGACGGGGCCCGGGGGGGGCTGGCTGGAGGAAAACCACGCGGCACCACCGGAAGAAGAATGGAAGGGAAGGGAAAAGGGAAAGAGTAGGGATAAGAAGGGGAGAGGTGAAGAAGAGGAAAAAAGGAGGGAGAGGAGAAAGAAGGAGAGGAAAAAACAGAAAAAGAAAAGAAGAAAAAGAAGAAGAGAATAATAAGAAAGTTGGATTATATATTCAAATATATGAAATTATATTAAAATAGGTAAAATAAATGTGAAAGATAATGGATTAAATTTTAAATAAAGCCAAAATTTTAAAAAAAAAACGTGTTTATCAGATATTAAAATGTCGTACATATGCTAACACTTTTTCTTTGAGTGAAAGGTAAGAAAGAGGAATAGGGAAAGGAAAATGGGAAGAGGAGGGAGTAGACGGGAGAGGGGTAAGAAGGAGGAAAAGAGAAGGTAGGGTTAGAAAGGTGGAGGAAAAAAATAGAGAAGAATAACGTAAAGAAGAAAAAAGAAAAAGAAAAAGAAAGAGTGGAAAAGGTTGTAAATAGAGAGGAAAGTAGTAAAAAAAAGTCAAGTCAAAAGTATAAAGGAAACAAAAACATTTTAAAAAATTTAATGGAATGATAAGATATCAAGGATATAAATAAGTGTTGTTGGTATTGGTAAGGAATGAGCGAGACGGTGAGAATAAACGCGGTAAGAAAGAAGGGGGAGTATAATATGGAGAGTAGTGGTGGGTAAGAGGTTGGAAATGAAGAGAGATGGAAAGAGGGGGCTTGGGCAGAGAAGGTGGTTTGAGGTATTGAAGAAGGTGGGGAAGGGTGGAGGGGGTTAATCAGGTAAGGAAGGAAGAGTGGGAAAGAGGGGGGAAGAGAGGGAAATGAGGAAAGAGGGGAGGGAAGAGAAGGGGAGGGGAGGGGCAGGAGGAGGGATGGGAGGGGGGAGGGGAGAGGGAGAGAGATGAGGTTTTAGGAGAAACGAGGAGGAGAAAGGAAAAGTGGAAGGGAATTAAATAATATTAGTAAAATAAATATTAATAAATGTTTAATTTAATTATTATTAAAGTGGTGTATAGTGCTTTTAATAATAAAAAAAAGAAAATAAAAAATATTTATTAAAATTAAAAGATAATTTTTTGAAAAAGTTGGAGGTGTAGGATAAGATGAAATGATAAAAGGTTAAAAATGAAATTTTGGAAGTGAGATGAGATGTTGAGGTGTAGGATGAAATACTTAATATGAATTTAAAGTTTTGATCATGAACTTGGAAAATTAAAGTTTTGGCTGTGTTATTTATACTCCCAATCAATTCATCTTCACTTCCAAAAATTTTTAAATTTCAAAACTGTCTTTATAATTCAAAAAACCTTATATTGTGTTTCATTAGATTTGAAATCTAGTGAAAAAATGTTTTTATTAAATTTTGAACATGTGATTAAAGAATTACTATCTTCTTTATCAAATTTCAAGATTCAATAAAGGTTTTTCATTTTTTCACTAAATTTTAAAATTTGATAAAGTTTTTGAAAAATCCTTTATTAGATTTTGAAATCTAAAAGAAATTCTTATCATGTTTTAAAATCCGACCAAGAAAAATGTAATTTTAGGACTATTTTTAAAAAAATTGGAAATGCAGATAAAATGTTTAGAAGTGCATGGTAAAATAGCCTAAAGTTTTTTATGATTCTAAAGATCATATAGTCGGGAAAAATACTGTTTGTGTTTTTCTAACAAGATTTCATGGGTATTTAATTCATTTATCTATTTACTTAGTATAATTTTAGATATAATTCACAAATGACTTTTTCTTTACAAATTTAGTTGAAAATGGGTCTTTAAATGTTTAATTATAATTAATACATATGTTTTTCCACAAATTTAGCGCATAAATTATCCTTTTACATTACTTTTTCATTTGGAATTTAATAATGGAGTGAACCTAAAATAACTGAAAATATCTTTGCAATAAACATGTAAAATTAAATTTGGTTAAACTGAAGTTAATAAAATAAACGAAGATCATATTGATTTGGAACAAACTTAGACATGTTTGGTATTGGAGAATTTTTTATCCAAGAATCACAATATTTGAAAATTATGAATCCATTTCCAATCATATTTATATTTTTCTAGATATATAAATGACTGATTATATATAGTTTTTCTCAAATCTTTAATTTGTTAAACATTAATACTTTACAGTAAAATAAGTTTGATTTTGACAGGAAACAAAAATCAAACACTTTCTAAGATTTCCAGCCCATACAATACAACCAATGACATGGTTATAAACAATTTTGTTTACCTCAAATATAAATTAAAAAATGTTCAAATTCAGCAAATCGAAATAGAAACAAGTTTTACCTAATTCAATCATGATTTTATTATTTCAAAAGTATAATCAAGGGAATTGAAATGCCGACATCATCTTCAATAAATCTGATTAGAGAAAATTTGAAATATATATAATTCTTTTTTATATAAAATTAAATAAACTTAAGCATCACAAAGACACCTGAATGCGAATATACTGACAATATAAACAAAATTATGCAATCATCTAGCTAAGGATTATCATTTAAAGTAATTTTTGATAGAATAAAATCTTAAAATCACTTTTAAAACTTTATTAAAAAAAAATCTCTTTAATCCTCAACTCAAAGGGAAGAGAAAAATGATTGTTTTTTAAAAGCTTTATCTTTTCTTGGCTGCGGCTTCTGTAACTTTTGGTTGAAATGTTAACTTTTCCATTAAAAGTTGTATCATTTGATTAAGTATCTTTTAAGACACTTTGTTAACGTAATTACGCCCCTGATTTGCAGTACTAAATGAGGGTTATACCCTATATATATAACCTCGAGCAAAAAGGTGTGATTCCTGTTCATAGAGAAGAGTAAGCTGACCCAGGTTCTACGAGAGTTTTCCATCTTATCAACAATACACTTTGAATAAAAGTTAATATAAATTTTCCAGTGGTAGCAGTTCAGGATTTCATATTTATATATTTGATTATGTATTATATTTTATGGCAGGCCAAGAAACTTTTCAACCTCTCAAATAGTTTTATGCTTTGAAAATTCCTTCACATGTTTCTCATACTGAGACTATGTATTTTCAGCTGAGTGATCAATCCATGGTTTCTCACTTTCTGTATAAACAACCCTTGGTTTTGGCTGAAACCAAATAAAGTTAGAGTCTTATTCTGTGTCCACTCTAGATATGCAAACTGAGCTTTTCCACACACAGAAAAATTGTGCTGGTGTTTTAGCTTGCACCCCTTAGAGATTTTGCTGTGGCAGAGCCTGATATGGCGTCAACCTCTATCACAAGAACTCAAATCAAGTGGCAGAAGCTTGAGGAAACGAAGCAGCAAAGATCNATATATATATATATATATATATATATATATATATATATAATTTAGTAAAATTAAAAAAATACTTTTATTTATATACTAATTTATGTAAAAAAATTTAAAGGAGTCAAAACTCCCTTAATTAACCATGAAGCTCCGCCAAGAATATACATACAAGGAGATGTCAGATCCGTTACATAATCGTTATTAGAGCAGCTAAACATAGCTATGCCTTACACTTTAGATGAACACACAACACACAGTATGCTGAAACTAAAATCCATATATCATAACTATATAACCAGTCTATATCTCAGGCCAAAGCATTAAGAGCAAGAAAAAAACTCAGATCACAGGTATCGACAGACGTCAACTTTGGCAGAGGAGCATCACAAAAACTTGCCGGCCATGACAATTTAAACTTGCGACTTGGCTGGCATGTCATTGATGTTCCAACCTCAATCAAAATGGTATGGAGAAGTCAACTGAGTAATCAGAAGCGCCATCAAAACTGCTACTTCTCACATTCACGCATCTTATCTATGTCTTTATATTTGAAGGTTGTCATACCCTGGAACATCTACAAAAGTGCAAATTAGGTTGTCATATAACACACTAGGTTTTGTAAATGCAACAATTGATAGTCTCAAGAATGGTATTCAAATTGCTTTTGGAGTTCTTCGTGGGGTATGAGTACAGTACTATATAGGCTTCCCTTTTCCCTCCCATCACGTTATCTGCAACGGCAAAAAAATAAATAAATATAAAAAAGATTCAAAATTACCACGATCTATACGCGGCGAGATAGCAAAAGACAAGTTGAGAGTTGATGCTACTCTGTTCCTCCTCTGCCACTGAAAATAATTTGATTTGTTCAGTGACTCTCATGTTATTTATCACCTTGCCATCATCACCAATAATCTCCGCATGTACATTTTCCCTCCTCAAATCGATGGAACCGGTTATTATCCCTCACAATGATTACCCTTCCGGTACATTTGCTAATAAACTTGATGGCAGTGTGGCAATCACCACAAACACGCAAGTTCTTCATCACTCTGATAGGTCGCTCCTGAGGAAAAGTAATAAGTCCAAACGCTATGGCCAACCTTTCACTATGATACCTTATAGTTTGACTCTTCTCATCTCCGTCCACTTCTTTTAACACGAAAGACGTGTCTGCAACGTACCCAGCTTTCGCAATTTTCTCTCCCAGCTCCTCCAACTTCTCATAAATTTCCTTGGTCTTCCCATGAGACCTATCCCCAGCAGCAAATGTATGAACCCTGTTACCCTCCTCCACCCAACTCAAACCAGTTTCTTTCTTTATTCCCTGATCCCTCAGCATTTTTCTCGCTCTCGCCGCCTCCTCCCATCTCCCAGCAGCAGCATAAGCATTAGAAAGCAAGACATTAATCCCAGAACTTACAGCACCCATCTCAAAAATCCTATCAGCCACAAATGAAGCCCATTCAGTGTTCCCATGAATCCTGCACCCAGTCAACAAAGCCCCCCAAACAGATTCCGTTGGCTCCATAGGCATGCCCTCAATCACCCGAAACGCTTCATCCAACTTCCCAGCACGACCAAGCAAATCGACCATGGTTGCATAATGCTGCGATCCGGGTTCAATCCCATGCTCCTTCATCAACCCAAAGTAATGCTTCCCCCTCTCCACCAACCCCGCATGGCTGCACGCATAAAGCAGACACAAGAACGTGATGAAATTCGGCTTCACCCCGACACTCCCCATCTCTTCAAACAGCTCAAACGTTTTCCCCGTGTGAGCATGCTGAGCACACGCAATCAACATCGCATTCCACATGCCAAGGTTCCTAACCTTCACCTCCTCAAAAACTTTGTAACCCCCTTCCACAACTCCACACTTGGAGTACAACGAGATCAATGAACTAGCCACAAAGCAGGACGAGTCAAAACTCGTCTTAAAGCACAATCCATGCACTTGCTTGCCCAACTCAAACAAAGTGGAAGCACTACAAACCCTCAAAACACTAGACAATGTAAAATCATTAACTCGAATATCATAATCCTGCTGCAAAGCACATTTAAAGAGGTTCAAAGCCTCCTCATCGAGACCCAATTGGGAGTATCCATATATCAGGCCGCTCCAGGAGACAACGTTTTTATGAGGCATTTCGTCGAACACCTTGCGCGCGTTGTTTATTTCGCCGCATTTAGCGTACATATCGACGAGGGAGCTTCCAACGAACACGTCGAAGTGGTTGGCGCTTTTTATGGCGAGGGCGTGGAGGGAGTGGGCGGTGGGGAGGGACGAGAGGGCGGCGCAGGACTTTGTGGCGGTGGGTAGGGTGTGGTCGTCGGGAAGGAGGCCGTGGCGGAGCATGCGACGGAAGAAGCGGAGGGCGAGGTGGGGGAGGTCGTTCTGGGCGAAGGCGGAGATGACGGAGCTCCATGTGGTGGCGGACTTCTGGGGAAAGGAATCGAAGAGTTTGTGCGAGGAGTGAGGAAGGTTAGTTTTGGAGTAGAAGTTGATCAAATGATGGCAAACCAATGGAAGAGCTTCAAACCCTAATTTGATAACGTATGCATGGAGTTGAAGACCCTTGGGGAGTAACCTTGAATGTGTTAGACACACCAGCACCTTGCAAATGTCTCTGCAGTCACTCTGCGGAGGGAGCATTACAGACGGCAGTGAAACGGGACCAACACGCTGCGTCACATCTTATTTTCCTTTTGGGCCTACATTAGGCCCAAATATGAAAAAATAAACAAAAACTGACATGACATTCAGTTCATTGACGTCGTCTGGTTCAGTTGAATAAGTGTAAACTTGACACCAAGGTAGTAGGCATAGAGAAGAATGGAGGGAGAAGAAGAGTTGCTGTGGAAATCGGAGCCACAACGCGAGTCCATCGTCTCCGTCACGCTCGCACGTGCCATCACTTCTCTTCTCACTTCCCGTCCTAAGAAGCTTCACGACTCTATTTCTCGCCTCTCCTCACATTCTTCGCGCTCGCACACTTCACTCGTTTCCCTCGAAGACTCTCTCTGGTTTTTCCACAGCTACGTTGCCGACGCTGCGACCAATAATTCTTCCCTCGACCAAGTCCTTCTTCCAATCATCGACAGCGTATGCATTTTCTCCTCCTCAATTTGTTTATTTCGGATTCTGCTTTCTCTTCGTTACGATGTGTTTTTCGTGTTTCCAGGTGTTAAAGTCCAAGCATGGTGACCAAGCTATGCTTCTGTTGAACTGGCTCTTCCAGGACGAGCTTCTTTTCCAACCCGTTGCCGAGGCTCTCGCTGGCGTCGTTGCCAGAAAGCACGTGCACGACCGCTACTTGTTGCTTGGTTGGTGCCTCCTTCTTCGGAATCTAGTTGAATTTGAAAGTTCCGCTCATCAATCCATGTTAAGTGGTGAGTTTCTAGTACTTGAGATCTAAAACTGAGAAAAATAGTTCTGAAGGGATTAGAAGACCCTTCTCAATTCTCTTATTTATATAAATAAACTCTGGTACAATAGATAGATGGAAGATGAAGAGATTGTCCTAGCTAGGAACAATCATTATAGATAACCCAACACACAACTACCTACTTTAGGCCCTGCTACACTAATCATAGGTAGACTTAATAATTATTCTAACACTCCCCCTCAAGTTGGAGCATACAAATTGTATTTACCAAGCTTGGAACAAATAAACTCAATCCGAGGTCCCCTTAACGACTTAGTCAACACATCTGCGAGTTGGTCATTTGATCCAACAAACTCAGTACAAATTTCTTTTGACAATAATTTTTCCCGAACAAAATGACAATCAATTTCTATATGTTTGGTTCTCTCGTGAAACACTGGATTTGATGCAATGTGAAGAGCAGCTTGGTTATCACAATACATCTTCATACTCTGGATGTCACAGAAGTTAAGCTCTTGAAGGAACTGCTTCACCCATATAAGTTCACATGTTAATGAAGCCATTGCCCTATATTCAGCCTCAGCTGTTGATCGAGCCACTACATTTTGTTTCTTACTTTTCCATGAGATAATGTTTCCTCCAAGGAAAACACAATATCCAGTAGTAGATCGTCTATCAATAGGAGAACCTGCCCAATCAGCATCACAATATCCTGATACCTGAAGACTTCCTTTTTCTTCATATAAGAGCCCTTGCCCGGGAGCCTTTTTCACATACCTTAGAATGCGAATGATAGCATTCCAATGGCCAACACATGGAGCTTGCATAAACTGACTAACCACTCCAACTGCAAAAGATAGATCCGGCCTTGTAATAGTGAGATAGATTAGTTTTCCAACTAGCCTCCTATATCTCTCCGGGTCGGGGAATAATTCACCTTCTTCTGTTGTTAATTTTTGATTTGGATCCATAGGGCTATCAACAGGTCTACAATCAATCATGCCTGTTTCTTGCAAAATATCCAGAGCATACTTCCTTTGGGAGATTACAACTCCATCTTTTGACTGAGCTACTTCAATGCCTAGGAAGTATTTGAGGCTCCCAAGATCCTTGGTTTGGAAATGTCTACACAAGTACTCCTTCAATTGAGATATTCCAGCAGTATCATTTCCTGTAATAACTATATCATCAACATATACTATCAAGTAAACACATTTCCCGGGAGACGAATGATAATAAAAGACTGAATGATCTGCTTCACTGCGTTTTAGCCCAAATTTTTGAACAATGGAGCTAAACTTTCCAAACCAAGCACGTGGTGATTGCTTGAGCCCATATAGAGATCGGTTCAATTTACAAACCATACCAGACTCCCCCTGAGCAACAAACCCTGGAGGTTGCTCCATATAAACTTCTTCCTCAAGATCACCATGGAGAAAGGCATTTTTGATATCCAACTGATGAAGTGGCCAATGACGAATGGCTGCCATTGCAAAGAACAATCGAATGGTAGTCATCTTTGCCACGGGAGAAAAGGTGTCACAATAATCAAGACCATAAACCTGAGTGTACCCTTTTGCAACCAGCCGGGCTTTGAGCCTATCAATGTTACCATTAGGGCCGACTTTAATTGCATATACCCATCGACAACCAACAGCCTTTTTGCCCGGGGGAAGTGGCACAAGCTCCCAAGTGTGACTGTGGTCAAGAGCCTGCATTTCTTCAATCATGGCTTGTCGCCATCCAGGATGATCAAGTGCTTCTTTCACATTTTTAGGAATAACCACAGGAGATACTGAGGATAAAAGGGAATAAAAGGAGGGCGACACTCTGTGATAACTAAGAAAATTATAAATGGGATGAGGGTTTCGAGTGGAACGAGTACCTTTTCTGAGAGCAATGGGCCAACCAGAATCATCTTCACCAGGAGACGTGACAGGAGATGGTGACGGAGAAGAATCTGAAGGAGGAGATCCACCATTTTCTGGAAGAGGATTACTCACCGGGGTACTGTGTCGAAGGATATCAGTATGTGGAGAGGAAGGTTCAGGAGGACCTTGGGCATGACTTGGATTGACTGAGGCATTGGAGATATTAGACTCAACCACTGGAAGAGGAAGGACCTGGTGGAGGATATGAACATCTTGAACAGAGGGAGAGAAGAAAGGTGTCTGTTCAAAGAAGGTAACATTGGCAGACATGTAGTACTTTTTGGTTTCAGGAGAGTAACACCGGTACCCTTTTTGAAGCCGAGAATAGCCCAAAAAGACACATTTGATCGCACGAGCAGAGAGCTTGTCGAGCCCCGGAGACATGTCGTGAACAAAACAAACACAACCAAAGACTCGAGGAGAGGTGTGAAAGAGAGGATCATTGGGAAAGAGAATGGAGAAAGGAACTTTATGATTGAGAGAGGAGGAGGGCATCCTATTAATAAGAAAACATGCAGTTAAGATGGCATCCCCCCAGTGATGAACAGGAATATTAGCACCAAGCAAAAGGGTACGAGCCGTTTCAACCAAGTGTCTATTTTTTCTTTCGGCTATACCATTTTGCTGGGGTGTATGAGGACAAGTGGACTGATGCAAAATACCATGGGAGCTAAGAAGTGAAGAAAAATTTGATGAGAAATACTCTTTAGCATTATCACTTCTTAAGACTTTAATTACGTGACCAAATTGGTTCTTGATTTCATTCAAAAAGGATGTGAAAATGGGTAACAATTCAGAGCGATCTTTCATTAGATAAACCCAAGTACATCTAGAATACTCATCAATAAAAGTAACAAAATACCTAAAACCAAAAGAAGAGACGCGACTAGGTCCCCAGACATCAGAATGAATAATAGAGAAACTAGAAGTACACATTGATTGAGACCTTTTGGGAAAGACAGATCTAACATGTTTTCCTAGTTGACAGGACTCACATTCTAAAGTCTGAAGACCACTAAGTTCAGGACACATCTTTTTTAACTTTGACAAGTGAGGATGGCCAAACCGATCATGTAACACTTTAGGGGGAAGAGCTGCAACACAGGATACCCGTGGACGAGATCCAAAATGGTATAAACCTCCAGCTTCATATCCTTCTCCAATCTGTCTCCCCGAGCCACGCTCCTGTATAACAAAAGATTTTGAATCGAAAGTTATTGAACAATGTAACATTTTGGTTAACTGACTTAGGGAAATTAAATTGAATGGACAGTTAGGGACAAAAAGAACAGATTTCAGAGTTAGAGAGGGAGACAGGGAGACTTGACCGACTCCCTTTGAACAAGTTTTAGAGCCATTTGCAAGGGTAATGAAATGGGGTTTTTCTTGGAGGGAAAGGGTTGAGAACAATGAGGTATTACCAGAAATGTGATCAGAAGCACCCGAGTCAATTACCCATGAATTTAGACCTTCCATGGATTGAGAAATGCAAGCTGTGGACGTACTTGGGGACTGAGATGATTGCGCCAAACTGTTAGACTTTAATCGCAGATACTCTTGATACTCTTCCTCAGTGAACTTGGAGTTGGAAGTGGAAGTTTCAGCCTTAGAGATATTGGCGGTTTTTGAAGGAAAGCCATGCAAGGAGTAGCAGTTTTCTTGGGTGTGACCCACCCTCTTACAGTAAGAGCATTGTGGACGTCCCCGACCTCCACGTCCTCCTCCTCTAGTGCCACGTCCTCCTCTTCCTCGCGTGGCAACCATGACAGATGGTTCCATTGTTTCATGAGCTTCCTGAGACTGAGACACAGGAACACGAAGAAGACGTGTGGTCAAGGCTTCCAAGGAAGGGACCTCATGACTTGTCAGAAGTTGATCTCTGATGTGATTCAAATCTGGATGCAAAGCACGGAGGATCATCACCATATAATACTTGTCAAGCTTCTTTTTGATATCTTCCGAAGATTCCACTTCCAAGAACATTCTCAATTCTTCCACAGCTGCTTGGGCTTCAGTCATGAAGGAGACCATATCATGGTCTGTCATTTTGAGACAGGCGAGCTTGTTTGCGGTATCATAGAGACATTGAATATCATTAGCATAAATGCTTTGAGCTTTCTTCCAAAAAGTGTGACATGTCTTGAAGGCTCTAAGAGATATCAAAAGCCGGGGTTCCACAGATTGCCACAATAGGGCACACAATTGGAAATCAGCTTGTTTCCATTGTTCAGCTTTGTCAGAAGGTACTTGGCTTCCATCCTGCTCGAGGTGGTCATAATGTCCTTGACCAAGGAACCACATTTCTACAGCAGCAGACCAACATAGATAATTCTTTC